CGTGCCCCGGGCCCAGGCCAGGCTAAGCCTCTCTGGAGAGCTTAACGCCGTCTTAAACCAGGCATCGGCTGTGGGCTGGCACGTTGCAGCGGGCTGAATTGCACCCCCAGCATCGCTGCTGAGGTTTTCTGAAGGCAGAGGGCAAAGCACAGGGCCCCTTATGTGGCAAGACATCACCGAGCAGTTTAAAAAAAAAACACAAGGGAAGGGCAGCACGAGGCTAAGCGAGCTGGTCTTGCAGCGCTGGGAGAGGCCAGCTGAGCTGGCTGATCGATGCTTTCCTAACCATGGGTGAATCCCTCCCCAGGTTTGGGGTAGTTTTTTAACCCCAGATGAAGAGCGCGCAGCCTGGGGGCAGGAAGCAGGGCAGGGCTGGCACCGTAGCTGTGGCTGGTTGCCTTGAGACACGTCTCTGCCGGGCGCAGCGGTGATCTCTGCCTGCCGGGGAGAGGCAGCTGAGCGTGGCCGCAGGGATTTCCGGCCTGCCCTGGAGCGCCCTTGGAGGTGGCCGCGCCTCGGGCTCCTGTTGCAGCTCTGTGCGTGGTCCTTAAGCTCCTCAAATTTTTACCTGGGTTAAATTTGGAGCTGGGATTAGCACCGGGACGCTAAGAGTAGTCTAAATCCCCCTGGAAAGTAACTGAAACCAGTGCCTATTTCCTCTTGAGATTAAAAAAAAAAAAAAAGCAGCCTGTTTGTGCTACTGCACGTTCATATGGGCTTAAAACAGGTCAGAGGCTGGTGACTCTGCCAGAGCATCAGTTCAATGGCCCGGGCACCCTGCACACTCAGTGCACCTTCAGGCTGGCTTTACTGTAAAAGCTCCTAGTGTAACAGCGTGCCTGTGATGTACGTTTTCCTCACCCTCCGTTATGGTCATAATACAATTTAGCATTACACTGTAAAAAAAGCAGACGTGAAAGGAGATCTTTATGTACACAGGGATGCCAAAACCCTCCAGTTAACACCTGTGCTGGCTGGTGTCACCTTGCTGCCCGAAGCTGGAGGCTTGTGTCCCAGGACAGCAACGTGGAAGGGCTCCCGGGGCTGTGGCACAGCAGGTTTCCCACGACGCGTGTGGCCGCGCACGTGTTGCACCCCGGGACTGTCCCTCCCACCTTCCTTAGGGGAGGATGGTGACGGCTCCCGGCCTTCGTCCCCATGGCTTGTGACGGCTGGGCTGGGCAGGGAGAGAGAGCACCGTCTTTGGTCAGCCAGAGTTTTGGGCAGCGTGAACTGGGAACTGAGAATGGGAAAGATGATGAAAAACATAGCTTTGCTGCTCCACCGAGTCCCCTGAAGATTCACTGAAGAGCTGCAGGAGAAGCATTTTGTTCCCCTCTAATAGGAGAGGGTCAGTTTTTCTTAGAGACCCTATGAGTCACTCCACGAAAGCCCTGTTCGGCTGCATCAGAAATCGCCTGGCCTTTGCAAACACAGAAGGTGCTGCAGTTCCCATCAGATGAAACACCTCTCCTTGCTTCGCTGCCCCACGGCCTCTGCCAACAGAGTACTTCTAAGCACTCAGCTTTCAAAGTGTTCACATTTTAAGAGCCACTCAGTAAAATGACTTCCCATAAAACATTATTAAATGTCTATAGCAGACAGCGCCCAGGAAATGCGAGTACATTAAAGGCCTGCATGTGGTATGTGCTGTTCCTCGGGGCAAGCGGGGGAGCGCAACCCCAGGCCGGCGCTTTCGGACCCTGCTGTGGTCCGAGTGTCGACTGCTGCGGGAGGCAACGTGGGCTGCGCTGGAGACCGGGACCAAGGCAGAGCATGTTGTAGGAGGAGAACAGGTTTCTGTGGTTTCCGGTGCATGTGGAAAAATCTCTTTTACTCTTATTAGTCACTCATACTCCTCAAGCTACTGAGCACCCAGCTGTCCTACTGTACAATAAACAAATGGAAGACAAATACTTTTCAAAATGATCAGAAGTCACAAAGTCTGCAGGGAAAGCCCTCTTCTTAAATCTCTGGTGGCTGGGAAAAGGCTCTGACAGCTGCACACAGGTGAGTCACTGAGTTTTGCTCTGATGTGGATAGGGCTCAGTGGGAATAAGCTGGGTTCTTGGAGCCAGCTCTCCGCTGGCCAAGACATTTCAGGCAAATTGATTTTTTTCCTCATTGCCCTGGCATTTCCTCTGCCTGACACAACAGAGGAGATCTCAGGGGCTAGCTCTCCCAAGGCAGCTCGTCCCGCTCGGGACTTGGCCTTGATGGGAAGTGTCCATGCAGACCTTCACCCCCACCCCGCAACTGCAGCACTGCAGGTCTGCTCTGCCATTGCATGGGCAGACCCCGTTTCCCCAGACAGAGGTTGTAAGTCCCTGGTAACTGGCACCTACTAGATGTTCTCACCTCCCTGGTTCTTGTTTGAAAAGACAAAACTAAATGGTGGAGAATAAAATGACTAATGGAAGTGTTTTAGCGCAAGAGACACGGTTCAATGTGTTTCAGTGCTTTAGGCAATGCAGGCCCAGCAGAATCAGATGAGGGTTGAGGATTTCTCATCCAAGGTGCCCTGTAATTACAAAGGTGTTAGCACCAGTGCCTCCAGCCATGTTCCCAGGACACCCCAACACATCAGGCAGTCAAGACTCCTGGGAAAGCTACCAAGTCTCCCATTGCCTTATGCTAGAAATAGGCTACAAAAGCTGCTACACTTTTACACTTCATTATGGCCATGAGACATGCCGAGGCTCTGCATGTCCCTCCTGTGGGCCACAGCTGTTGCCTTGTTTGTGCTGACCATAGGAAGAGCCTAAATGACCACTGTGGCCTGGGCCTCCACCTTTACACAGGTGACTGGGATCGTTACACAGGCATTTCCATCTGACAGCATGAATGCATGCCACAAAGACCAGCCCTGAGAGGAAGCTGATGTCACGCTGCACCTCCATGTAGAACATCAGTCCTCGAAACTCCTGCCCACCCAGAGGGATCCAAGCCAGAGAGGTGCTCCAATGGCAACGGCCACACTCAAGTCCAGCCTATACCCTTTCCAAACTTGCCACACTTTGCCAGGGAGGACAGGTCTACTTTAAAACTCCTCAGGAGTTCAACTCTTCTCCTGATTACCTCACCCAAAGGGCCAGATATGGTGGGGTCCCATCCAAGAGACAGAGGTATTCTCTCTCTCTCATCCACCTGCTCAGTGATGTAGAGCAGCCTCCATTTCCTCCTCTGCCTGAGAGTATTTGCATTTGAGTAATTCAGGCAAATATGACAATCCCCCTTGCCTTCCCAGTCCTTCCCACTAAGGCTGTTCTACTTTGCAATGATAATTAAATGTTCAGTGGAAAAGGGCGAGGGGTAAAGAGAGAAACATCATGAGACACAGAGAAAGAAAGGAAAGAAATGTGTGAGCCTTCTGGTTAGCAAACCCACTCCGGTAATGGGAGACTGCAATGCTCCTACATGTACTACAGATTAATTTTTTTCCCCTTCCTATTCATCACAAAAATCTGCTGAATTGTACTTCCCGTGTTAAAAAAACACTGCCACATCCTTTTAACTATGGATTCAAAATCTGTGATAAGCAAAGGGAAAGGGAGCGAAAATGGTTAATAAGCCTGCATCAATTCTGCTGATGAAAACCTGACTTTAACAAATGTATTTCAGGGGCCTGTATTCTGCTGGGACTAAAACTGGCTCAAATTTCTGCCTTTGTTTTCCAAGCACTGCTCACAGCCTAGCTCCAGTGAGCCCTCTGAGCAGTGTCACACCACAGCTCCTATACCGCGTCCTGGGGCCACTGTTGTCACCAAGAGGCACTACTTAAAAATGTGAAAGCTGAACCCATGTTTTGGTAGATTTTTTTTTAGTTTCTTCTCTTATTTTCTTAGTAGCATGAATTTCTATTTTCTTCTTTTCAGAAAGTTTCCTGGGCTCAGAAATAGGCAGTTAATTACCAGTTCGTAGTAATACACACCACATCAATGGAAATATTGTCTCATACATAGGAATATTTATTTCTTTCCTTCTTAAAAATGTACAAAAAATAAAATAACTGTATTTACAGTTTATCAAACCCCTCTCCCAGTTACAACACTATTAAGTTACATGAGCTATTTTCTTAATATAAAAGCACACTATTTATACATACGCCTTGTTTGCCAGAGAGAGGGCCTATCACAAACTTTGGCACAAACAGTCTTGTTTGCATCTTGTCTCCATTTATAGGAAATGGAAGAAGGTATAAACATTTCATAAGCTTTACATTTTAAAAGTCACAATATACTCCTTTCCAGTTCTGTATCAATCAATATACAGCACCTCTGACAGCTGGAGAGTTTAGCTTTTACTAATTGTTTGAATTAATTTACAACATTTAAACAATTCATAGACTGAAAGAGGAAAACATACAAGAAGGATACTTGATCTCTGAATTCCATTGACCAAATACTTCATGAGAAAGGATACATAGGAAAAAAAAAATCTTTTCTTTGTAGTTTCCATTCAGTGGTAAAAAATCTCCACAATTTCTTGATAGGGATTTCACCATACATGAATAAAGCCTCACTGTAAGAATGCACTTTTTTGGGTTACAAGCACTTGACTATGTAGAAAAAAACTATAATTTGAGATTTTTAGTTTTCATAATAAAACATCAAATGGACAGACACATGGCCAAATCTGCGGCAGGAACTAAAATGAGAGTTTAGTACACTACTCTTATCTTTTGCACAACATCTCTGTCAGAGTCTTTCAAAACTAACACAGTATCTACAGACACTACACTGCTCTAACTCTGCATAGGGAAGAAGAGCGGAGCAGCAAGCCACACCTTAGGTTGCCTTAGCGAGGATTCAAGACTTCCGTCTCGTAGGAGGAAAGGAAGTGAGAGTTTTGTTCCTTTAAATAAACAACCACAACAGTGCTACGAAAAGACAAAAGATGGCAACACAGACACTTCTGTCCCATGCTGAACCCTAGCTAAATCTCACTTCCATTTAACTTACACTGTTCGGAAGATACTGTGCTCATCAATCTTTTTCATGAAACAAAAGCATATATGTATATTTTAAACAATATACATATACAAATGTTGTACTACCTGTGGACCATTTTAGAAGTTTGACTCACTCTTACTGGCCCTCCCCATCACTCTGAATTCCTATTTTTGGCCAGTAAGCCCTTACAGGTGAACCCTGTGAGCATGTAGCATGCCACCACCAGCAGGCGAGGCTCAGTGCCTCTTCAGCACTGAACGGGAACAGGGAAGTTGTGCTCTTCCTAATGTCTTAAGATGCTCGTGAGGCCGTCCTCTGGAGCAGAGAAACAAAGCCCTCCAGCCCTGGCACATAAAGTTAAGGGAGATCATCCTTAACTAGCTCTATGTTGTTTTAAAATACTCTTCCCATCAAGGTAAATCCTACTCATCTTTCTCAACCCTAGAGTCTTGCTACGCTCACTGAGACTGTAAGAAGGAATCAAATGCAGGAGGATCAGCTTTGTTTTAACTGATCAGGAATTTACACACTTTAGAAAGTGTATTTAGAAAAGCTATCAGTTCATCTTGGAAGCAACTTCCCTGGACAGGGCCTGACGAACAGCTCCTAAAATGGCATTAGCAAGATGGCTCCTCAAGCCAGTATTTCCTGGAGCACCGCACATCTCACTGATCCTTTATTGCTCCTTAGTGCAGGATGCTGCAGGGAAGTAGGATGCCTGCAGCATCCAGCAGGTACTAGCTCATGTTATAGAGAAGAAAGGCCAGTCCCTGTATAAGAGAAGAATAATATTAACCTGAGTGCTGGTGCTGCAAGGACAGCCCTGCTCTTCCCTGTAAACCCCAAATACTCCCTAGATGCTCCCTGACCTCTGTTCCTGCAGCACATCACAACCCAGGCCAGCCCCAGGCACCATCACATTCAAAGTAAGAAAGACAGCTTGGATGGTAGGTTTGTTAGGGACAAAACCAGGGCTTGACTCTACCTACAGTTACTCACCACACACTCAATTTGCAGCTTCTGCTGGGGTCTCTCACGACCAACTGAGAGATCCCTGTTAAATTCCTTAGGATCCCAAACACCATCTTCACCAGAGATGTATAAGAACCAACACCTTTGCTCACAATGGTGAGCCCTGTCTGCTGGTCCCAGCTCTTAATGCCACCTGCCAAAACTGTCCTTCTCAGTTGTTTTATTTTGTTTTGTTTTGTTTTTTTTTTAGGAAAAAAATATCTGGTCTAAGTCCATAGACTTTTTTCCAAGCCTGAACCAAGTAGAAACAAATTAAACCATCATAAATCTCTTGTATTCCCAGGATGTCTGTTCTTAAGCATGGTAGCAAGGGCATCTTTGCTGGAGTACATACTTATGAAAAGATAAAGGAATTACCACACAAGTCTGAGTCACAGAGGAGAGAAAGAGCAAAGGAAAAGGAAGGGGAAGACAGAAATGGATTGCCCAGACACTCTGCTGTGCAGACAAATAGAGACACATATGGTTCTGGAAATGTCAGCCCTGACTCGAATGGCCTGGACCTTTCATAGGTCCTGGTCCCACAGAAGCGTCTACGGGTGCCTAGCATTACTATTTGAAGTACAGATTTCAATGGGATGCTATTGCTAATGAAATTAAGAAAGCGTCCAAGAATTTGCATGACAACTCATGTAAAAATAGACTGGCCAACTATTACAATTGCTTTGCTTAGGTGTACATAGCTCCACACAGCTCAAAGCACTAGAGATTGAGCCCTATGAAAGCAGTATTTCTTTAAGTCATTAACTAGTTAATGAGAAAGATACTGTAACTGTACAGAGAAAAGATTTCAGAAGGAAAAAAATAAAGAAATTTTAAAAGCTGCATGTAGAAAAGAACTCACATTTTCGTCTGCCTCATAGTATCCACATACAATGCACGTGAGAATGAAATGCTTGCAACTGAAACTCACAGGAGTGTAAGTTGAGTGAGGAGCTTTCTGAGATAGCCACAGGAGCTGGAAAGGAGAGAGAGTTGGGTGCCAGGTTTGGATGTGCTGGGGACATTCAGGCCTTGAATGCCTTTTCTGATATCATAAGCCTGCAACTTACTTTCTCACAAAATTCATGAGGCAGAAGTGGATTTTGATGGAATAACCTTGTAGTTCAACTTGGGTTCAGATCCATCCTTTGTGAAAGAGATCCATCTCCACACCTCAGCTGTGGTTTACTCTCAAACTCCACTGGTGAAATTGTTCCAGTTTCTATAAATTATTTATATCAAGCCCAGGCTTCTACCTCATCCAACTGTCCTAGGAATTAAAACAGAATCTTTCACTGGAGATACAAGACCAAGTTCCCGTAAGAAGAAAAAAGAATTTAAAGTCCCATTTCTTACAATCTAGAGGAACGTTCCAATGAGCAGATTGTTGGGAAAAGCTCATCTCCCTTCACTGGTTTGAGAAAGGCCCACCGTGATGGCCCCTGCTAGCCAACAAAACAGGCAGAGGTCCCTTCCGTACCTCTACGCATGCCAGGCAGCAGACATATGGGTGCCCTGAGGATTTGGTAACAGCTCAATGGGGCATTTGAATATCTACCACCAGGGCACCTAAGATGGTTCTCATTGTGACAGAACACTCCAATCCCTGTAGCACGGTTTGCTCCAATATTTCAGTATAAAATCAGCTGGGTAGGGGTGGAGCATATGAGTGCAGATGCAATTACAAGCTTCTCAGCACACACCCCTTAACAGATTGCAGAAATCTAATCCTCTAGGAAAGATTCTGTTAAACCCTAAACCCAATACATATAAAAATGTAGTGGCAGTAAACATGCCCACATACAGTAGTTAAAATATATTATCGCATATTATAAACATTATATACAAGGTTAAAATGGTTTCTTTACCATTTACTTACAAATGACATTTTTAGCTGAATGCCTTACTTACTTACAAGTCCTCATTGCTACATGCTGAGAACTACCAGAGGTATTTGGCAAGACTATACACTATGGAGAGATATGAATCAGTCTGAGCAAGTGAACTGTCAGCCACCTTCCCCATCTTTAGCACTGCACCAGTTTTTTAGCAATGGTGAAAAGAACTACTGTTAAAGTGATTTATACCCGATTTCTCAAGCGGGACCAGCATGGTGCCTTAACATGTTTTAGAATGAGCTTATCCACAATAAAGCATGGATTAAAATGCTGCATTTCACATTTGCAGTGGGTCATCTGGTTACAAACCTGGGGGCTGGTAACTGCTTGTACACTAGAGAGTGGGGAACAATAAATAAGGGTCCAGGTTAACATGAGTGGCCTTGTGCTTGACAAACCCAAGTCTGTATGCAGTGGGTGTGCATGTGCAGAATGGACACTGTTTTCAAAGCAGTCCTGTAACAGTTTCTCTGATCAATGTCTGTCAAGTTCCTGGGGAATCTTCTGCTTTCCAATAAGGATGAAATGCTGTGGTTCCTTATAGAAGGTCTCTGCCTGAGGCTAGATCTCAGTCAGTGTGATCTTGAAGCCTTCGACCATGCTTTCCATGTGCAGGATGAACGTGTCCTCATTGGAGTAGTGCTCAATAATGTTGTCATCCATGTTTACCAAGATACTGGTGACAAAAGCAAAAACCAGTATTTTTATGTACCAGGGCAGTGAAAGGGAAAGCCACACGCTCCGCTGTATGTGCTAACTTCACCAACTAAAAGCAATGGAATAAGACTCCAGCACATGTCAGCACAGGGATAACAGTGGGGAATTATCAAGATCTATGCCATTGCCCCTTGTACTCTTTGGATCAGAGGCTGCTACTTGCCAAAGCAGTTAAAGTAAGAGACATGCCACGGTTGGAATTTCAACATGCTTCATAAGCTGCCTACAAGGCGAGCTGCAGTGCAGCTCCTGGCAGGCCTGGCTAGCTGGTATTTCTCTGGCCTGATGTGAGCTCACCCAGGTACATCTCTGTCCTGCTCCTCAGCCCTGCAGGCACATACACACATGGGAGCGTTATACATGAGCCTCTCCTCCTCCATAATGTGTGTGAGTCATTTACAGGGGGAAGCAGTGTAATTTCTGCTTTGCACACAGCTCGCAGGCCTAAGAACACAGCTTACATGTGAGAATACTGACAAACTATTTTCCATTCCATTTACTTAAAGGGTATGTAAGTGTTTTCCTCACTCTTTACCATAAAGAGCTTCCTCCAACAGATGTACCACTTGGAACCAGTGTTAGAAAGAAGAAGAGCTTGAGACGTTTCCCCTTTCTTTTCAAAAGTTAACAAAATTCCCTAGACAAAAGACTGCACGAAGCTAGGGTTATGGCTGAAAATAACTGATTTAAAATGCTATCACTAGAATACTGTGGTTATTTAAAAGTGAAAAAAAATTAAAATTGAGAGATTCAGGTTTATGGCAAGGTTTATGGCCCAGCTATTCTAAAATAAGCTGTGATGTTCACATCTAAAGTGACTGAGTTGCAACTCCCGCAGCAAACCGCCTTGAACTTGCCTGCTTTTCAGATTTGGGCAGTGGCCTATACTGGCTCCTAGCATTGTAGCAAAATTCCACATTGCATTCACAGTAAAGGCTGGGCCTCTCCCATGCTAGTGCCCACAATGTTTCTGAGTATACATAGTCTACAAAACAGACTTTATTCATATATATTTTCCAACATAAATTTTGCCCCTCCACAGTAAGCCTATGAATACTAGTCAGACACAGACTGGAGATTTATGTTTCCTCCTCTTCCACCTCTGGCTATCTCCATAAGACAGTAAGACTTTAGGGTTGTGGGCTTGTGTCCTACAGCATTTACAATATCAAGCAAAATGATGCTGTAAGCATCTCTGGGATCTCTGGTTGCTTCTAACAGATCCAGCAATAGTCCCTAGTTAGTGTTAGTCCCTAGTTAAGTTAGTTTACTTACCCCTTTTTGCTCTTCTTATAAAGTTTTGCAATCTTTTCGACTGGCAGCCCATATTTCTCAGAGATCTAAAATCATCAGAATAAAAAAAAGACATTAAAGATTAATGAGGAATAGGATCTAACCACATCTCTCTTTACATAAGACATTAAAACACAGCCCCTGCAAACTTCAACATGATGTAGAAAAGTCACTTGCAATGATACCATAGCTTCATTTAAGGATGATTTGGGGAAGAATAATCCTAAACATTTTCATTAAAAAAAATGCAACTTTTTCCATCCAGAACCTTGGAGACTATAATTTTCATTGGGTGTGAGTCACCAAAAAGAATAATACAGAAAACAAAGGAAAACTTTTGAAGGAAGACTTAACTGACAATTTACTAAGAATAGCATGCACTGCACTGGGATGCTTTGGCATTGCTTTGCAGCAGTGTGTTAATAATTTGCTTGGATGTCCATTCTGCAGTAAGCCTCTGTGCTGTTCATGGAGATGGTGTCCTTGAGCACTCCTCAGTCTGAGCCTCACTTCCTTCCCAAATTACGACTCTTCTTTGAGAGAACAGTCTCATGGCTAATTTTTTTAGAAAAGTATTGTCCCAAAGGGCAAAATAATTATGGACAAGGGACTTTTTGTCAGTGATCGATGTTGTGTGGTACTATACACAGTATAGTGTGGTACTATACTGTCAATGAAAGTAAGCTTCCTGCTCTTCCCAGGTGAAATGAAGTTGCAGGTAAATAGGTCACTATCTTCTGCATTAGAGAACTGAAATTCACAATTAAAAATCCATTTAAAGACTGCCAAATATCAGTCACTGTAAAATCAATCCTTTTTTTGTGTTTGTGTTCAGACTACCTTTGAGAAAATATGCTGTTTTAGAAAGGTAAACTAAACCAATCATCATGAAATGAAGAATGAAGAAAAAACAATGGATGAAACTCAGCACCTAGGACAGATTCAAATAGCCACAATACCCCAAGCAAAGGCTTCCAACCTGACAGAGCCAGAATTCTCCAAGAAAGAGAATTAATTAGCTGCATATTGCCTATACTCATGTAACTGACATCTTGCCTAACACACAATTTTGTACTTAAAAAGTATAGTGCAACTTCAGGGTTTTGAGGAACCAATAAAACTTTTTCACTGCAAACAGTTTCCTCTGACCACAATATACATCTGTGGCTACAAACAGAAAGGAAAGGATACATATAAGGAGTATAAGCTACGCTAGACTCGCCTACTCTTTGTTTTGCACCTAATAGAACAAAATGCAAATTAAGTTAAGTTTCGAGAGCAGTATTTGCTACTTCAATTTTACTCACACTGGCATGTTTCACTGCCCCTCTGGATAGGTGTTGGAGATACTGATGCTAGTCCTGGTTCCATGCCTTCGTCTGTTTTGGGAGAGGCCTAATTCAGGATTGAGGCTGCAGGAGCTCCTACACTGCACCATCACACGCTCTCTGCTGCAGGGAGCGTTCTAATTCACATGTGTATTAGAAGATGGGCTTTACCTTACTGGTCTTGTATCTCACACGACTATCCTTACTACCACAAACTTTTTAAAACTATCTTTCTCTATACCACTATCTGGATAGGGTGGAAACGCTTCCACAAGGAAGACATGTACCCTGCATACTCAACAGCCTGTAGGTAGTCAGCATACTCACATGGGATAGAAGTTCAAATCCTTGCTCCAAATAAGGCACACACATGTCTCTGTGTGGGATGTCCTAACCTATTCTGGCCGCTCTGCTTTTCCACAGACAGGACAGGTTGCCCCACCTAGCTTTCATGAATAACTGACCCAGCCTATGCACATAAATCCAAGGGAGGATCTATGGGGCAGGATTCTTGGTAGAAGGAATCACCTACCTCTGGCCAGATGCACTTGTGTAGGTACCTATACCTTGCCTCTCACTCTGCACTCCTGGCTCCTCCTTGGCCATGTTTCCAAGGCTGCCGTCCTCCAATGTCTCATTTTGTATTGCCTATGGAAGGCGGTTGCCTGTTGTGACACCAGTGACTCCTCTAGGGTACCCAGGCGTGATAGTGTCAGGACAAATACTGACTGTCTTAGAGAAGTTCTCAGAGAAACTTTCACATCCTCCTTTTATTCCTCTTTATCCTCTAGCTTTGTTTACCATGGTCTACCTGGATAGAATTAATATTGGACAAGCAATCTGATGCTGAATTCTTGTATCTATGGCTTTGATGTCCCTCTAAAGTTAAGCTTTCATTTAAAGGGATAACAAAAATGGCTCTGTTTCATTACACAGTTGAAAAAATCCTTCATAGTAGGAATCAGAGGCAAAGCGCAACCCGAAACTTCAGACAACGTCAAAACAACTGTGTGAACATGAGGAAATGTCATATCTGCTAGCTCTGGGCTGTTAACTCTGAAGCCTGATGATATTCTAAAGATTGGTACTTGAAGACACTTTTCTCTGACTCCATGCAAATAAACAAGCAGGGAAAAACTTTCTTGTGCCAAGGCTGTTTAACAGCAGCTAATATACAACATTCTGCACATTCCGAATAAGACTTTCCTAGGATATTTGGGATACCTAACACACAATGATAACAAATGTTCCTCAAAGTGGTTTGGGACTTTGAGACACCACTTCCTATGTAAGCTATTAGAGGTAGCGCCGAGGAGGCCCTGCCTGTCACACTGCTTCTGACAGGTGTAGGATTTATATAGCATGTAGGGATTAGTGAGCTTTGGGAAAGACTTCCAACTGACTGAATAAGCACATTTCACAGGGACTCCTATGGATTTAACCAATTATACTAAATGTTGAGCTGTGGAAGCAAGGCTCAAAGTAGGCGCAGGGGACAGCCACCCGCTCACAAGGCTCAGAAAACAAGTCTCCAGTGCAAATGTACTAAGTCCTGCTGTAGAATCTGGGAAAGCAGAGAGCTAGCATCTGCTAGGACATCTCACTTAACACTCTCCTCTGAAGCAGATTTGTTGCCCACGCAGAAGGAAACTCGCTATTGCCAACTGCTGTACAAAACATATTCTCACCTGCCCCCAAGGAAACTACAATGAAGTAAAAAAGATATCTTTATTTGGAATATTTTCCTTTTATCATCTTCATTTTCCCCTTTCCAGTTTTCTGAGCAGAGAACTCTACCCTTCCCTTAGGGTGGCTGAAGAAGTCACAGCCTTCAGGGTGGCACCAAAACAACAGGACAGGTGTCCCTTTGGGTTGCTGGCCACTGGAATGGCAAGCCTGTCTCGTAGCACACATCTGATTGCAGAAGCCACCAGAAACACTTCCTCTGCTGAGGTCTAGGAGACGGAAAGGACAACATCTGGGCTGGTTAAGCCATTTAGGAATACATGTTTGCCAACTCCTTTCTATGGAATAGTCTGGTCTGTTGCCCTGCCTTCGCAGATCGGACACATACCTAGACCGGTATCTAATTAACTGTAGTCTATATAGGTTCTGCTGAACTCAGCTGTTATTTCTAATTGTAGAAAGATATTAGGAGATGATTGAATTCCACCACTTAGATTGCCCTCTGCAACTTGAATATATATTTTATTCTGCACAGTATAAAACTGGAATACCTACTGAGATCCACAGAGTTAACGTGAATTTGGATCAACCTGAGAGCAGGATTTGGAGCTGGTCTGTCATCACATAGCGGCGAGATGTTTGTGACTGGCAATTGTTTCAGTATTTTTTGTTGATCAAGACCGACTAGTGTCGGATGCAAACATCTTAAGGAACAAACATATGCATCATTTTTTGAGATTTACCCTATCCCTAGAACCTGAGACCTCCAGACACTTGTCGGAAGAAAGAGATCTGAGAAGAAATGAAAGGTTCTTTTGGAAAGTGAGTATACAAGAAGAATAAAATAAACATAGCATCTGAGAAAACAATGGCATTATTCATGGAAAATCAGGAGAAAGTCAAAGACTAGGAAGTGTGATAAACAAAAAAGTGTGCGATTCACAAACAGAGAAGCAGGATATGATTCAGGATCATTGCCTTTCAGACTTGGGGCTATATAATGTTCTTAACCTGGGTTTCTAAGATCTTAGCATTGAGTTCAGAATTCAGTATTTAGAATGTGTACAAGTACAAAATTACACGATTTTCTGAAAAGAATGTAGAGAAAATACTTAAGAGTATGCAATCTGACAGCTTTTTGGCATTGATTTATTCACTATATCCTACCAAAGAGAATTAAAATTTTCTGAATGTGTTCTTTTCAGTGATCTGGGACACTTCACAACAGATCAGATTTCTCTGGTGCTGAAAACATGCCACTGAGTCAGCAGCTGTGCTGACAGAGGTATGCAGAAACCTTTCCTGTCTGCACCAGCTTTGTTAGTTTTTGTATTAAACAGTGGCTGGAAAACAGGCAAGGAGATACACAGAATATTGAAGGTAAAATATTCATGTTAGCTTGAAGGGTTATAGAAGGATTATATTATACTTTTAACTTTCCTACAAAGACAAAAACAAATCATGTTACACTTTTATCATGAATCAGACGGCAGCCTCTTAAAGTAAAACCTGGCTTTTATTGTTTTACTGTTTTATGCTCCGCCTAACCAACAGAGCCCCAGTCACAGTTAATAAGCAATACTGGCAAAAGCACAGTTAAGTCATTATTGTAATGCAACTGAATCTCCTCACAGAACATCGATCCAAATAAGTCCTTTAAATAGCTTCACTAATCACAAGTCTTTTGCCTTCTGCTATTGGCCAAATAAAGGTAACTCAATCTTTACTGCTTTCCAAGTGTTTGGTGCATGCAACAAGACATTGTGATAATTTTATGAGAGTATAAATATATTATTTTTAGCGCTCAACTGAGCTCTCTAGAGACATCTCATCCATCTCCATCTTTTCTCCTACATGCAGCCAAAGCTGGAATTCAGCTCAGCTTCTCACATGTCAGTCTCATATTAGTCCTCCACCTAAGCAGTGATACACATGACTGGTTCTTCACTGTTCCCTCGCCTAACTTCACATCTCTACTAGCTCTCAGCTCATATAAACAGGATTCAATTCGAAATATGCACTCATGATCACAGCTAGTGGACAACAAGCAGAAAATCAAGTCACAAAAGCAGGCTTGAGCAGGTCGCTCTGGGAGTGAAAGTTCTTGTTAAAAATAGCCGTGAACATGCTGGTAAGCCTTACAGGAGACAACTCAACAGGATCAGAATCACTGGTGCAGAAAGAGGCATTTCAGGAAACAGAGTCCGATTCTTCCCCCCTCTCTGACACTGGTTAATTACTGCCATTCCTCAAGGCTCAAGTCTCCAGTAAATCAGCTCTGCAAGTCTATTTTATCTCAGCAACCTGCTGACAACACTGAATCCAGAACATGCCAGCATTTCAGATAGAGGCGTGCTCTAGAAAATCTTGAAGAACTACTTCAAATATATTTAAGAATAATTCCATCTCTATATTTTATCTCAATAACACATTGAAAATCTCAAGATTTGCTTACAAAGGAAGATAAACAATGTGAGGACATCAGATACTTACTGCTTCCATTAGCCCCTTTACTGTGGGTGATTTCAGCATCAAAGCATCAAACACCTCATCTGTCTCCTTCCTCACATACAAAAGCACTGAAACAGAAAAGAGTCAAACTTGAAGCAGGTCCAATCAATTGAACAGATGAAACATCCCACACTGAGTGGAAAGACAAATATCAATCTACGACAGATAAAATGAAGTGCTGAAGATGGTTTGCACCACTAAAAAAAAAGGAATCTCAGGTCATCAGCAATCTAAACATGAAAGACACATCACAGTTGCTTTGAAAACAAAGAAAATTCAGCACGTTTAATTTAATGTGAGTAATCTATATCTTCAGGAATTTAAATCTCCATTTATTGAAATAAAAGAAGTCCCAGCTGAAAAACCTTCGGCTTTGTTTGTGGACGTTCAATCACTGGCGTTCTATCCCTGGGCTGTATGCCAAAAAACACAAGCTAGTTCTTCCTAAACCTATGTCTCGGCTTGCACCTCTCCAGGCTTCATCCAAAAGGCTGGGAAAAGACATTCAGAAAAGGCAGGTCTGGTTTGCCTTTAGTTGAGTCTCTGAGAGAAAAAGCAACGAAAAGAAGTAGAACTTTTTGACATTGCCACATGGATGACTTTAAACTGGAAACAGTTGGAAAATTAGTCATTTGAAAGGGTGAGTCCAAAGTCATTTGAGGCTTTACAGGGAAGACATTTGAAAGCTTAACTGGCAGATACGCATTTTATCACAGTGACCGCCCCTACTCCGGTACCCAAATGCAATTGGTACTTCTATACATCTCCTCTTCCTCTCCTCAGACATCCTGTCAGGTCTTAAGGGTTCACAATCATACTGTCCTAAAAATTTTAGCTGTTTCTCTTTCCTTTCTTACTAAGCTTAAGGTTTTTTCAGGTAGAAGTAGGAAACTCACGGATTATGTGGCAAAAGCAAAGCACACAGGTACAAAAGGAATAAGCACAATCATTAGAGATATGTTTTATGTATAATCTCATATTACTCAGATAAAACAGCAGGTTAAATAAGATGTTCTGAAATTGATTTTTCCCAAAACAAATAGTATTTTCAAGTAGCAGTATTGTATGCCAGGTACAAATACACATGCATTGTTAAATATTTTATATTTCTATGGGACAAACTTCTTTGGTAATCATCTCTTTTTTAATAAATGGCAAAAGATAACTTCTGAATGCTCTAACCCTTGCAGTCCAGAAGATATCATCGCCAGATTATTTATTTTTAAAATAGTTGGCATGCAGATAAACTGAGAGAGACTATGGTATTTTTCATACAGAACTAGTTCTATGGGAGCTAACTCTCAATTTAAGACTGCAGCAGCGTGAACTCAGAGCCATTTGCAGAGAACTGTAGCTTCTTTGCTTATGTTCGCAAATGACTGAAAAAGTGTAAGTAAAAGTTGGCTGGCCAGATCAGTCTCCAGTCTTGGTCTACAAACCAGACTGCGAAGGAAACGGTGGGTTTTCTTTTGTCTTTCATTTAGAAGTGTTAGTCACAAAACTTGCTCCCACAAGCATGAAGAACCAGATCCTTTTTACCCACCTTTTGGTATTTCTTTAGAACTTGCCTGATAATGCCCTTTTTAAGGTAACAGACATAAAAGATGAGATAACTCTGGGTCACAACCTAAATAATTGTCAGTATATAAAAAGAACCAAAAGATCTAGAGCAGCTGTTAAACTTTTTTGGTTTTGAAATGTTTACTTGCGTGAGCAAGCACTCGCTCAGGCTGCTAGTTTTACCTGGACTAACACTTTGATTAATACAGTAATTCTCTTCTTGTGACTGGAGGACTGTCCTGTGACTCCCAGCCTTTCAAACACCTGGACCACCTGCCAGCCTTAATAATTACAAACATGTAACTGAAAGAAGGAATAATCACTCAGTCTGAAGTTAAAGTTAGGGACATTACATAATACAAGCGCTGAGCTTTAAATCGCTCTGTTGTGCTTGGCTTGTCAGAGAACATTATATTGAATGAAAGATCCGTTAGAAGGATAATGGGGAACTTGAATCACTATTATACACACAGAGAGCCAGGATTAGTAAACATATGGGGGTTTGTTAGGGGTTTTTTCCCCCCTAACAGGTGTGAAAATCCTGACTGACTCCCTAGGGCACTTTTCCATAAACGGCTTCTGGTGACAGTGATGGCTTAAGAAGTCTCTGTCTCATTCCTGCCCTTGTGCTCTGTTATTTTGGCCTGTCTCTATGAATTTTTCCGGACAGTGAACTGTCTCAAAGAGCAGGTGCAAGTGAAAAAACAACCCTTTTTTCTGGTTGTTCTTCAGACAGGTGAGGTCGCTGCTTCAGTTTATAAGGCAAAACGTTTGTGCTGGCACAACAGACGGGATGGCCTACAGCAGAAGCAGCAGCCAGCGAGGAGTGAAAGGGGCAGCAATGACCCAATTTAGCTCAGCAGTATTGCCACTGAACATCAAGCCATGACTATGATGATGTGACACAACCAGTACTTACATGCCCTCTGATTCTGCTGTCACCATGTTCAGGTCATCTAGATGGTCTTACTTTAAAAGTACAAATTGCAACATTTCAAAAAAAAAATCTTGTACCAAGCAATGAGCTATTTTCTGAGAGCAAGTCAGATAGATAAATTCAAATTTGTCTAACCTCTACACTACCTGGCTTCAGTTCTAAGCTCCCTAATGTTCTTTGGATGTTAAAAAGAGTTGCAAAAGATGGAGGTGACAAATTTATATTTAGCTGCCTATGAAATAGCCTGTTTTACAAAATTGCAGAGTGGCAACTAGCTTTTGCTGAAGGCAAGGGAGATTGCTGCATCTGGGGAGATTTTTGGAAGTGTGGCCACTAAACTGTGGATTTAAATGTGAATGCAGAAGAACAATGCTAGTTATCTGTTCTAAAAAGGTTAACTGCTTGGCTCTTGATTGGCAAATCTGCCAAGGCAGAAAACAAGCAACAGGTAAGTGGCAAAAAGGGAAACTAGAAACATGCTGAAACACTAAGACCTTCTGCCAGGAGCCACCTCTGAGTTCAGGCACTACTGATGTCCAATCAGACTGACACCATGAGCTAAAGCCCAACTACTAAACTCTTTGAAAAGTGGTATCTGGAAGAAGATGTGGCATTTAGACAAGGCTGGCAGCTGTGACTAGGCTTTCCTTTTCTACATTTGAGGTTTTTACTAATTGCCCAGGTACAAGCTCTCTAGCTAGACAGAGCTACAGCGTGAATTCTGTCCTCCATAGGTACGGTTCACCTAACCCTAATTCTTATGAATCCAAAATGTTTTAGAGTAATTTAATTTGACTTTCCTGAGAGACAAAAGCTAGAAAAAAATATGACATTCTTCAGGCTGAGGCTTACAGGGCTGGGAGTCTTCCTGGTCTTTAACATAGCTGCTAGATTTATAATTAATGGGAAACTCCAATGAAATCTGAAAGGAAAAGTGACTTGAAAAGTATTAGTGAGAACTCAAAACAGGAAAAGGTCACAAGTCTAGCCAAGCAACTAGCTGTGCTGCACAGCTGGTACAGCTTAACATACTTTACATTTCTGTGTTGGGCACTTGTACCTCCCTTAGAGCTCAAGGAGATGAAAGACATCATAAATTCAAAAGGATGTAGCTAGCTGTGTGAGAACATGAACTTTGTTCAAACCCCTTCAGATCCGTTCTCTTGAGGATGTCCCTTTAATACTTGTGCTCCCACCAGACAGTATTAAAACTAGATCCAACAGGCAGAAGTGAAACTGCACAAGGCAACATCATGCACCACTTTAGTTCTTCAGCTGAGCTTGGCTCTTCACTGGGTGCTACTAACCTGACTGCCTCTGATAACGACCCACCTTTGGATTCCATTCCCTTTAATACATGTTTTCACATACAAGATGTGTTATGTCCTACATATTACACCAGTGCCACATCTACACCAGCTCTCTAGAGTTATTGATTCTGCTATACTAAATAAATCTGGGAGAAAAAAGGCTTCTAGCATGGCTCAGCCTGGGAAAAACAGCAGAACGTTTTATCACCTGGTAACGTCTGTGGCAAAGATAGTATTGTCAAATGGGTAGCCTTAGCTGAGCTACGCTCCATCAGCACAATCCCAGATGTGGGGTTCCTGATGGCAGGAAGTTCAACAGAGCAAAGGCCAAGCTGGAATGGGCTTGGCTGCCTGCCAGCACAGTCCACGTTGCGAGAAGCACTGAACAGGAAGGGGATGTGAAGAGAGCATCCTCCAGCTTCCCTGATTCTGTGCCTCTGCTGGATTTAATTATTTAACATAGTTTTGTCACCAGTTGAAAAACATTTTTTCTTTCAAATCTTCCCCTTGAAAGGGTTGCAATTCCTGGACGATATTAGAACAAGTTATCACAGCAAAAGAGAGGAATAATCAAAGCAAACCAATCTCTCCTTGCAGGCAGTTCTCCATGCTTCTAGCTGGGACATACAGGTGAAATTGCAGGAGAAGAAGGTTCTCTACACAGCTGTTGTGGCTGTCCCCTTCTGCTTGACGAAGCCCACACTGATCAGGTGAATTTGGTCAGGGCCTTGGGACAACCAGCTATAAGTCTGTGGCCAGTGCTGACCTTATGTAATTAATTGAAAATTAGATTAAAAGATTATTTTTACATCTACTCCAAGGAGATTTCTGCCTCCATGCTGTATACTTTGCATGCTTGCCCTGGTTCATCGACACCATTCTAACCAACAGAGAAACTTTGCAAATGCAAGCTCTTGGGAAGTTGTTCCTCCAAAGCTCAAAGGAGCCTTTTAGATGGCATAGCTTAGAACAACAGAGTTCACCTCTGTGGCTTGTTGCCTTGCTGCCATGCAAACTGATGGATGAACCTCAAAATATCTGCAAGTTATAGGAGTTGTTCACACCCCTGGAGTCTCCAATAAATTTATATGACAGAACTCATGAGACTGAAGGAATGGCAAATATTCTCAAGAGTATCTAACTGCGGCATTGTAAGAAGTGATCACCTATAGGTCACTGCTCCAGCCCTGCACAGGAAGTGTCTGTACGCAAAGCAGATATGGTGGTCCAAACCATCATATGCTCGTCCTTTCCTTCACTGCAAAGTTTGACAGCTTTACCTAAACCATTGCTTGAATACTGTTCAAGTTAACCCACACTGTAGCAGACTGGTAAACAGGAGCTGGCCTAGTATAGAACACGAAATGTGAGTGTGGTAATATCATTTAAGGCAGTAACAAACAGTTAAGGGAAACAAATTCTTCAACACTTCAGGCAGGTCTGCAGGAGGATGTCTGACCATGCATTAACTTTCTAATTGGGAAGGAAAGTTGTGAGGTGTTATTCAGGCTCATCTCACTGTAGTCGGCAGGAGCTTGCCTGTGTATGGTTTCTGTATCTGACCTATGTATTTTTCATGTTTGCTTGTGATCCCAGACAGAACAGAAAAGATGAGCACAAGCTAAAAATAAACGATGATAGATTTGCTACTGGAACATTTATGAACTACGTAGTTTGGCCAAGGATCAAGAAACTTTCTAGCTTTTTTACTATTCGAGCTTGTTTGAATAAACAAGCTCCCTTCTTGAGATAGTGCATAACCTATTTTCTCTTTATTGTCTGCTTTTAAATCATTAGCATTTGATAAAATGTTTCCTCTTATATTGGCAGCTGTAATGCTATCTTCTTACATCCGTTCCACAGTTGCACTAGCATCAAACAACCAACTTGGTCTGAGTCAACCCTACCCTTTGCAGATTGAGGGCATGAATCCCAGAGTGTTATTTTTAACTCCTGAGAATCAACTGTTACCTCTTTTCAGGCCTTCTTCTTTCATTTGCTTCAAAGGCGATGGGCCAAACTCCTCCTCCACAGGCCGGAACATCCTTTTGACCAGGACACTGCTACTAGAAAACACACCACATGAACCATGACAGGGTAAAGCCGCACTCCCAACAAGACAGAAGACAACAGCAACAGATATGACTCACTTTGTACTCCGCCAAAAACCCCACCAGCTACTCAAGTAACAACAGACCCGAAACTGCAAGGATTTAGCTCTTGATGCTTATCTGAACTCTCCAAGCCTCTCAAATTGCCCAGACTGACTGACTGGGACAGGTGACAGGAAAACCCGTTCCAATGTTGCATATGATTTAGAGAACTCAAAGGCCCTTAAGTGTTTAAATATTTACGGAAGAAGAGGGAAAAAAAGTAACAGCTAAGTAAGGAGGCGAACCCACATTTAAACATGGATTCACCTTCCTTTTTGGGTCAAGGAGACAGCCTCAGGAAACGCTGACAAGATTTCTAAAATAGCTGAGACCCTGCAAGCCAGCGAGCTCACAGGGAGCAGTGCGCAGGGCCAGGGCCAGCTGGGCGCTAAGACACGCCGTGCCGGGGAGCTGCGGCCCCCAAGCTGCCGCCACTGCAGCCCCTCAGCAGCTCCCTGCCAGGGCTCGTGTCTCCGCGTGGCCGCGAGCAGGGAACCGCAGCCAGCGTGCTTACACAGGGACACCCTGCGTTTCACAAAGTCCCCCCCAAACCTCACCAAGAGCAGGACCTTCACAAAAGGAAAAAAAGGGCCTAATGTCTGGAAGTCAACCTTAGCTGCAGGTGCGCAGCCGCTCCCTCCTGCAGGCCATGTTTTGCATGCATATTTGTGAACTCAGTTGTCTTACTCCACACTCTCAGATTTGAGGGTCTTATAAAAGTAGGGGAGTTGCAATTGTTACAGTTAATGCTGGCCAAACTTCAGCCATGGACATTAAAGCCCTTAGACTGTGACATCTGTCACTGTTTTAGGGACTTTCTGCCGTTCTCCTTGTCCCTCCGAAGCCCAATCCTTTGTGCTCCCCATTCCGATTTTCTCCCTCCCTGGGCTCTCCCATTCTCTTGCTGACTTGCTCTCATAGCATTTGGGCATTCTCTCTGCAATTCCTTTATTTCTCATATATACACTTGTGCTGCTAAACAGCTGCCAAATGTCAGTGCTTCACTAAACAATTCCTGGACAGATTGTTTTTGAAGTGATTTGGGAACCCCTATATAAAAGGAACTTTATTATCAAATATATTGTCCTGCCTCTGCACTGAACCTTATGGCTCATCAGACCATTTTACTCGGAAATGTACAAATAAATAGATATTATAAAAAGCCAGTACACATGAAGGACAAAAAAAAGTTATAATAAAAGAAACCTCTGCCAGTTCTACATGTTATGCAGCTACAATTAGTGACAGAAGAATATGATGGAAAGGGGGGAAAGGGAATCCTTTTTATTTGATTTTGTGTTTTGAGTCTGCTTGCTAAGGGTCTGGACAGCTAACAGTAAAATTCGTGGAACAATAAATGTCTTACCCTTCTCTTTCATCATCTGTATTATAGTAA